GTTTAGACCAGGGTTTAGACCAGGGTTTAGACCAGGGTTTAGACCAGCAGGGTTGCTTCTAAATGCTAAAGTCAGGTTTGCAAAATATTCTTGTTTCATGCTCGTCTGCTGGGTTAGCGTCATTTATGCTAACTCCTTCTCTAGTCTGTCCTTTACAAACATCAGAACCATGGGTTGGGTCGGGCCAAGCCGAACCACGTTGACTAGCTTTAGAGGAAAATGGGGTCAAAGTTTCGTGTTGCTAGAAACCATCCTGGTTGCAGGAGGAGTCATTACGTGGACGTCATCCTGGATAAAAACGTCTTAACGTCTAGCTGTGGTTGTTCTGTTTCCACGGAGCTGCAGGACTTTATGTTGCAGTGAGTGAAGATGAGAAGAAAACCAAAAGGCCCAGAACCTCCATGAAGGACTCTGTGGTGTTCTGGACTCACCCCGTGGGCCGACTGAACCGTTCGTATCAGGTTGAGGCCCTTCCAGACGTAGATGTCTCCGTTGAGCGCGCCCGAGTACGTGACGTCGTCTTTGGCCGACGCGATGCACAGGATGGTCTGCAGGTCGCCCGTCTTGCCGAAGATGCCTCGCTTCGGCGTGAGAGCGTTTCCACACAGAGACCAGAACTACAGAGAAGACACACAGAGGTGATCAGAAAGCAAGGACCGAAGATGTTTCTGTTCTGGTTTCATACGATGAACACGTTTTTAGAGAGTTTCTCCTCGCTGTAAATTTCAAAGCTTCAGGACTCGTCTGATGTTTTCATTCATTAAACCATAAATTTACCTTCAACCCTCAAATAGATGATTAGTTTTCTTCTTATATGTGCACAAATCACTTCTGTTTATTCTTTTTTTTTATTACAGTTGCATTGAATAAACGATTAAATGCTGTCCAGGGGGGTTGCAGATTAATTTATCATGAACTCAGCTCTCTGGAGGCGGAGTCTGTCCACTCTGGGCCACCGTAGAAACACATGAAGGACAACCTGCTTCCTCTGGAAACATTAACGTCTCGTTCTAACCTCACACATGTTCAGGTGATTATACACAAACTAAAAGCATAGTTCTGAGCACTGTATTTTATTTCTGCCTAGTTCTACACCTGGCCCGTTGACACAGGTGTTCTGTGGGAGGAGCTTCTTCTTGTCATTCAGCGTTTGGGTGAAAATGGAGGATTGGTTTGTGTCTCGTCTCCTGTTTGGGATCAACACAGCGACAGAAAGAAGCCCCGACGAGTGTGTTCTGATCTTTACCTTGATGTGTTTGACTCCGCAGCTCACCAGCCGGTTCTGCTGAAACGGGTCCCAGCAGATGTCGAAGATCTGCAGGACAGGACGCAGGTTAACCAAGACAAACGGCTTCATTACTGCACACAGAGGGACAGCGAGCAGCCTCACCCTGTCCGAGTGTCCGGTGGCCGTGGCCAGGACCTTCCCTCGTTTCCACTCCCAGATGCAGACGGTGTTCTTGGCGTCCAGGCCGACCGACGCCAAGCGCTGCAGAGACAGAGACGGGTGCTGATCCGAAATGACAAAGACTCACCATGAAGCTGGATTTCATGAGTGGTTTCTGCTGTCAGGTGTGAATTAGTGATGTTTTCATGGATTCATCAAACTGAACTAAGGTGTGAATTAAATGTAAAATCAGTTAAACTTTATAAACTCAGACGTGACTCATGAGAGGCTGCGTTGGCACGGCAACGCTTTAAAGCTGAATGTCTCTCTGTCAAAGCCGACGAGACAAAGGAGCTTTAGGTTAGAGGTAAATCTGAAGGCCGAGCTCTGAGCGGATCAGACGGTTCCTCTGAGGCAGCAGCAGCAGGAATCGGATCTCAAAGAGCTGCAGGTTCAGAATAATTCTGGGTTCTGACTCCGGCTCGGCTTCGTCATAACTCAGCTGCAGCCCAACGCCGCGCGCTTGATTTATTATTAAGCTGGATTTATGATTGTTTTATTGATTCCGTGTTTATTTTGATTTAGCCTCTGGTCGGGACCGGCCGGCGGCACAAAGCGGCGACTCAGCAGGAATCACTTCACGACTCAGCAGGATTGTTGTGCATTAGTTTGTAACCGAGGAGGAACCGGCCTCGGACCGAACGGAGAGAAAACTGAACTCTGAAGTGGGTTTTTTGGCAGTTTTGTCTGTTTGTGGGCTTTGAATCTGCTGATGACGTCATACAGGTGGTAATGGGAGGAGGTCGGGCTGATGGACGGGTCGACTAAACACTTTGTTTGTTTTGTCCTTTAATGTCGATATTTGTGTGAACAGAAACACCAACAAGCTGTTTGCCAAAAGAACTTCTCTAGTATATAATTAATGACTTCACACAAACGAGCACATTTGCTTCATTAATTATTAATGAGCCAATCAAAGCGGTCCATTTAATCTGATCCATTGATCATGTTTAAATCAATAATTTGTGTTTAATCATGTAAATATTGTTGAAATATCATCTGAAAGACTTAAAGGGGGATCAGCAGCGTAGAAAGAGATTCAAGAGGAAAAATTCATGGTTTAAAGATTTGGTTTAAATGGTTTTCAAATTTTCGTATTTAGACGAAGCTTTTAAGGTAAAAACAACATTTTGTCGGTGACACAATAATGTTGCATCAATTTAATTATGTGTGTTTTAAACTCAAGTTTCTGCATTAGTTGATTTAAAACTAAACTCAAGTTAACTTAATTAAAACGACTTGAGGATGTGATTTATCTTCAGCTTGAGTCTCCTCCTCGATCTGAACACATCTGGACAACTTCAGACACTTCAAACTGATCATTAAACACACATTGTTGGGGTCAAACTTTGTTTTTTAAGGAGTGAAACTGAGAATAAACAAGAAATAAAGTCCTGACTTCATGTTCTGATATTAAAATCAACTAATAGCTCATCCTGTTCACAGAAGATTCATCTGAAGGTGTTTTGAAAGAACAGATTTCTGGAGATTAAAAAAAAAAAAAAGAAAATTACAAAAATAAGATTTTAATTTAGAATAAAAATGAACAAAATTTTTAAAAAAAACAGCAATGTGTTTTAAAGCATCACTTTTCTTCCTGATAAGAGTTAAAAATTCATGTAAAATAAATATTTTGCTTGAAAAAAGTTCTGTAAGATTTTTTTTTTGTCCGTTTTTAATGTTTTTAATAATATTTAATAGGATGAGGCAGAACTTTATTCATCCTGAAGTCAATCCCTGTGTTGGATTTTAGAGAATTAAAGCAGCTCCTGATAGAAAAGCAATGAGACGTATTCATGACTTCTAAATCTAAATAATAAACTTTAAAGCTGGAATAAAGCAGTAAGAACCTGCAATAATTGTAGGCAGAACAGTAAGATTACACACGATCACGAAATGTTGCACAAGGAGTTGAAATACTGCACCTAGAGAATGAAATATCACATTTCAGACGCAGCCTTTCAGTGTTTTTGAGCTCTTTAAAGGAGGAAACAACAACAGACTGAGTCCTAAAAGCTGACGAGATGTGTTTCTACCCTGATTATAGTCTGATCCTCGTCTGACAGATGAACCGTGACTCAGGAGGTTTAAGGCGACCAGCCACCAGGTTGATTCAGACGCTGACAGACGAGCCGACGCTAACGCCGCCGAGGAGGCTCCAGTCGGAGGGTTTCTGAGGTGAAGCTGCAGTTCAAAGGAAGCACCGACCTGCTTCTGACACTCGACTCATTTACTCTGAGTGCAGAACACTCAGCATATTGAGGAGTGACGACACGCCGAGCTGAGTTCTGTTCAGGATTTATCCTCAACCTGCCAGAAGACGGCGGCTGTCAGACGGGATGCTGCCGGTAAGAGTCTGAGATGAAACGTAAATCAGCCGTCAGGAGGCTGAAAGGTGGAGACACATGACCAGGACGCTCTGACATCTGATCAGCA